AATCGGTTTTTTTCGAATTAAATAGAAAGTTCATTGACACAGCCTAGACTGAGCTGGTCCAAAGCAGGTCTGCGGTAGGAACCATCTCCACAAGCCGCATATTTTCTTATGAAACGCTAGAAAAAAACTCAGTCGAGTTCAGATCCTCATTTTGCGTCGTCAAAAGTCCCCCATAAATGTGGTTTACTTATGGGACGCTAAACGATTAATCGAGTCAAAACAAATCTATTATGTTAATGGTAGCCAAACATTGCCTGGTTTTCAGGCGGGATCATCGCTTAAGTCGGCAGAGAGACTACATACGATAAGACGTCCTGGTGGTTTACTTAAGAGTCACAAGTTTTTCCTGGAGTCCGAGGCTCTTCTCAACGGGCGACTGTGCAGATGATGCCACAAAGAAGCTGACCAGTAGCAAAGTCCGCATTTTTTTCGACTCCGGATACGGCAAATTCGAAGTATCACCATGTAGAACAGCTTTGTCGTGCACCAACCGGCGCCAAATGTTAAATACGCCGAACCCACCGTAAATATTGATGGTAATTGCCTTGGAACTTGAAGTCGATTTACTTACCTGGGTGAAAATTTCTCAAAACCAACAAAAATCGCCTACAATGTTGTAGCCCTAATGTCTAAGGCCAACCAGACATCATCGTCTACGATGGACGAACTACTAAACGACACCTAGGATATTTGGAACAGGTTTTTAGTGTGTGAAAGATGCTTATATCTTTGTTATAATCGTTCACCTCTGAAATTCAGCCGATTTTAAAATATGACTCAACATGTGCCCAGGAGATGCTGATGTTGGGAGTTAATCTGGTTTCCAAGCAACCGGCTGACAAGTCTGATACGTGATTATGTTGCACGTTCAGTAGCGAGTACTCACAGTTAACTGAGAGTTAGTCATACGGCTCTCAAACAAGTTGTCTCGATATGCCTTACTACATCATCCACTACTTGTGTGCGGTTGTATAAGCGAGAAAACCTCAAAGACGGAGGAAAAGAGAAACAGCAGACAACAGAATACGTGGAAGGAGAATAAAAAGTTAGATTGTGAAACATATGTCTTTCATCAGACCGCCACAATAACACAATGAATGCATTCGTGAGTTAGGTACGGCGTTTATAAGGTTCTCTTTACTTCAACACCACCTGCATGAAGGTGTCGGTGAGCTAAGGACGCTGGTTTTGGGAGCAGAAGGGAGAAGCATATAAACCGCACATAACTCGGAAGTCCATTCCCCATGTCCTAGCAGCAGCCTGACGATTAATGACTGAAAAACAATGTTTGCCAGTTTGACGTCCCCAGTCTAACGTGGAAATTCTGGCAGAGCTAAGGGGAATTAACCGAAAACTCACCAACGGAGACTAATTTGCCAGACTCAAACTCTTCCAACAAACGGAGCATTTTTTCTTCCATGTGTCTAACATCATCGATGTTCGCCAAAACGTTAGGAGATTGGCCTCTTAAAGCTTCTTCGGATGGAAATGATGCAACAAAAAGATGAACTAACCTGGCGTGTCTGACTGTCCTTGCATTCTTGTAAAGAATTTACTGAAGTCCCAGCATGTGTGTTTGGTTTAATAGGGAAGAAAGGTCTGTAAACTTTAATAAAGTAAAACGTCAAACAAGGACGGAAGGCAAAGTGACCAACTGGAAAGTTTCAAATGAGCATGCAAAGGCCGAAAATATTGACTTTAGCGTAAAAGACAAAAGCAGCAATGTTAAATTTATCTGATTTAATTTATTAAGTTGGTTTGGCAGATTTGGTTAATTTA